GTATCCATATCTATGTCTGATTCTACTACGATAAATTTATCCATCTGAGGATTATGACATCGTATGGCCGATCAAATTTTCTTTTGTCAACTAATAGTTAAACGAGAGCTTTTTATATTTGATGGGAATCATTATCTTCTTATTTCAATAGTTTTGAAGCATAGCTCATGTTATTTTTCTTTCTTTTTTCCTTTGATTTGTTTTTACACTTATATTCAATGCATTTAACTTGAAAGAAAATTTTATGTCAGCCGTCGAAAGAGATGGATGGAATTTTAGACAGGTAACCAATAATGTTTTTAGATTTTAGTGAGCTGTAGAAACTACATGTTGTCGATTCTTGATTGAGGTTCGTTATCGATCTTTTGATATGTAGAGTGAGGCTTTCTTTGTTTTAAGAAGCATTATTCAGATGCTACAAAAGATGCTTAAGCCGAGATCCAATTATATTCACTTTTGTGGTTTGTATACTTACTTTGAATTTGAATACGTTTGTATGTATAGAAGAATTAATACAATTTTTGGTAAATTTCACAAAACCCTTTTTAAAGTTTGACATGTTTTAAGTAGACACTGCAAGCTTTAGAAATATCAGTTAACATTATAAATATCTTCTAGTGTTAGGGGACGATATGCACACCTCGCTGCGGAAGCGAATCACCTTGATAGAAAGCCCTGTCCTTTGTTTTCACAAAACACAAGCCAATCTCGATGTTCCTATTTCGATAACGAAAACAAGAACAGAAGTGAATATATCAGCAAGGTGAGATATATACTCTTTCCAATATCAGATCTAGGTATGAACATCGAGGTCAATATCAGATCTATGTCTAAATATCGAGAAAACCAACCAACACAAGCAGTAGCCAATACAATAAGTGAGACACAAGATTTACGTAGTTTGGCAAACTTGCCTACGTCCACGGGGAGAGGTGAAGGGAGATTCCACTATGATGGAGAACACCAATGACTTGTACAACCAACAAGCTCGTCCCAATGAGATGAGGCTTTGATTTTACCCAAGAGAAGATGACCACTTTCTTGTACAATCGCTCTAAGTTCTCTCTCTTTTTCTCTCCTCAAGATCTCACCTTTCAGATCTGAAAAACTCTCCTTTTCTCTGAAAAACCACACAAAACCCTAGGAATGAAGTTCCTATTTATACCAAGGAAACAGGGCCAAAACCAGAACCCGACGCAGACCAAATACCCATTGTTCGGATCCATGCGAGACACTTGAGGTGTCTTGGGCGCGAGACACCTTAAGTGTCTCGCGCGAGTGTCTCGCTGGTGTGACACTGTTCACAATTCTCCACCTCGTACATTATTTGATAAAACTTAAATTTTGGATGAACACCAGAAGAATGCTGTGAGCATAGCAAGAGAGATCTGAAATACCAAACTAGGCTAAAACCAGCTGTACCATTATACCATGACTGCCTACGTACCCTTTGACCGGGATCAAGCTAACCATAGTTCTAAATAGTCTTCATATAGTCTCCACCTCACCCCATCACCGCCCCGAAGGGCCATACCATTTTGGGAAGATAAACACGGGCTGATATGAAGCAAGTCCAAACAATGCTAAAACTTGCAACCTGTCACCACCTTGGTCAATATGTCTGTGGGATTCTCATTTGTCTGCACCTTTATGAGAGAAATACCACCTTCCTCTATGACATCCTGCACAAAATGATACCTACGTCGATATGCTTGGTATGAGCATGATGAACTTGATTCTTAGTCAAATGAATCACACTCTGACTATTGCACCACAAGTTCAGACAATCCTGCTCAACCCCCAAATCAACTAGAAGACCCCACAACCATAATGCTTCCTTCACTCCCTCTATCATGGCCATGTACTCAGCTTCTATAGTAGAAAGTGTCACTGTAGCCTATAACATTGATCGCTAACTAACTGGAGCACCATGTATTCTGAACATATAACCAGTAGTAGATCGTTGTCTGTCTAGATCGCCCGCATAATCTGAGTCTACAAACCCATCAACCTGACACGTATCTCCACCAAAACACAAACACGTATTAGCGGTACCCTTTAAGTATTTCAGGACCCATTTCACTGCTTCCCAATGTACCTTTCTCGGATTCACCATGAACCTACTGACAACACTGACAGCCTGTGAAATATATGGATGTGTACACACCATTGCGTACATCAAACTGCTAACTACACTAGCATAAGGTACATGCTCAATATGTACCTTCTCTTCCGCTATAGTGGGAGATTATCTACCTGAGAGCCTGAAGTGTAGAGCCAATGGAGTCACCACTGACTTAGCACTTTGCATCCCAAACCTTACGATAGCACGCTCAATGTAGCCCTTCTGACTCAAGAACAATCGCCAGTTTGCCCACTCTCTTCTAATATCCATACCCAGTATATTCTTAGCAGCGTCCATGTCCTTCATCTCGAACTCTTTACCAAGTTGAGATTTCAACCTATCTATCTCCACCTTGCTTCTCGAAGTAATAAGCATGTCATCTATATACAAAAGAAGAGAGATATAATCACCTCCACGAAGCTTCCGAATATAGACACAACAATCGTAGTCGCTTCTAGAAGACCCATGCTTCAGCATGAAGGAGTCAAATAGCTTGTACCACTCCCGAGGAGATTGTTTCAATCCATAAAGTGACTTCCTCAAGCGACATATATGATGCTCCTTATCCTCAACCTTATAGCCCTTAGGTTGATGCATATAAATCTCTTCATCCAAGTCTCTGTGCAAGAAGGCCATTTTGACATCGAGTTGTTCCAGCTCAAGATCACCGTGAGAAACAATACTCAATAGCACCCGAATAGAAGTGTGTTTCACCACCGGAGAAAAGATCTCGTTGTAATCTACACACTCTCTTGGTGAAAAGCCCTTAGCCACTAGCCCAGCCTTGTACCTTATACCACCAAGCTCTAAAGGATCCTCCTTTCTTTTGTATACACACTTACAACCAATAGATTTTTATCCCTATGGGCAATGGGACCACCTTCCATGTTTGGTTCTTCCGGAGAGATTCCATCTCCTCCTCCATCGCAGCCAACTAACTCTCAATATCTCTATCCCGAATAGCTTCCTTGAAGGTGACTGGATCATCATCCTCCACCGAGAGTACGTACTCAACCAAATTTACCTACCTATAGTGCTTCAGAGGCTAATCTGACTCTAGCTTCTGAACTTGCTTGTATGCTCGCCTTGGCCTAGTAGAAGCCAAACTATCTTTGAGTTGTTGTTGTTGTAATACCTATACATTTTCTTGCTGAACCTCCTCTTGTTCAAGCTCATATCACTCTTTACCTGAGTATCTCCATGATCCACCTCTTGAACACGATTAGAACTTGGTTGGTTTTTAGGTTCTATCTCAATCACCTGGGATTTTAGTTCCCAACAGTCTCAACACCATCATCCTCGGATGCCCTAGATTTTTATAAAGCTATCATGTATTTCTCATTAGAGGTAACATATCTGCTAATAACGAACTTGGAATCTTCTGTACACAAAATGTGATAGCATTTTACGCCCTTTGCATACCCCAAGAATATTGCCTTCTTGGCCCTCGCGTCAAGCTCCCCCTCATTGACTTGGTAGTAGGAGGTACATCCGAAAATTCCGAGCTTATCATAATCTGCATGCTCCCCTGACCATACCCTATAGGGTATATCACCATCCAATGTCGAATTTGGAGAACGATTCACTATGTAACAAGCTGTAGCAAACGCTTCCGCCCACCATTCTTTGGCTAAACCAGCATATGATCACATACTCATTGATTTCTCCTACAATGTATGGTTCAATCTTTCTACGACTCCATTCTGTTGTGGTGTTGACCTGACTATCTAGTGTCGAACAATATCCTCCTGATCACAGAACTTCTTGAAAGCACCATCTGTATACTCTGTATCATTATTAGATCTCAGTGTCTTTAATTTCCTACATGCACTAGTAAAAAATCGAATATCCTAGACGGAATATTCTAGACCGAAAATTTTCCGTCTAGTTTGTATTAAACTAGACGGAAAAATTCCGTCTAGAATATTCCGTCTAGAATAAATCATCCTAGACGGAAATTTCCGTCTAGGATAGTATTCTAGACGGTTCTATTTTTTTAAATTTTTTTTTAAAATGGTCATGTATCCTAGACGGAAATTTCCGTCTAGGATACATCCTAGACGGAAATTTTCGTCTAGGATACTATGACCCATATAAAAAAAATAAAAACATCAATTTTTCGCTCCAAATTCAAAATTCCCCCCCAAATTTCCGCCCAAAATCAAAATAAGAAGCTCCCCCCCTGATCCATCTCTCCCTCTCCCCCGACGCCGTCACCTACTCCACCCTCCTCTCCTCCCTCCTCTGCCAAGGGAACCTCGTCCTCTCCACCAACCTGATCCATCTCTCCCTCACCCTCCTCTCCTCCCTCCTCTGCCAAGGGAACCTCGTCCTCTCCACCAACCTGATCCATCTCTCCCTCTCCCTCCGCGACTACTCTGGGGCACTCCTCCTCTTCCCCGGCCTGCGGCGGAGGGGCCTTGCGCCCGACCTCATCGCTTAGACGCTTACAACTCCTTTGTCGACGCCCTCTCCGAGGCCAGCCTCTTCAGGGACGCCCGCGGCGTGCTCGACGATATGCTCCACTCACAGGTGAAGCCCGATGTCGCCACCTACTCCTGCATCCTCTTCGTGCTGATCGATTGGGATAGGTACCTGGACGCGTTGAACCTGTTCGCCGAGATGCAACTGACGATGCTCTCACACAGTTAAGATTGGATTAGTCTCTTGTATGCAATTTATGAGTTTGTTTTCTAGTTAATTTGAATGTGCTTGGTTCTGTAGGGAGATTGGGGAGCATGTGAATGCTAAGGAGAAGATTGCAAGTCATGAAAAATAGCCAGAGCAGGATGATACACCATCTTTAAAAGTTATGTTACAGCGGAGAAGATAAGCAACTTACATTTCTTCAGAAGGATAGTATTCAACGGGGGCTCTCAACACACTAATATCATGTCGTGTTTTTCCTTCAGCAGTTGGTCCTACAAAGGAGTGGAAACCAAAGTCAACAAATGTAAAACCTGCTCCAGCGGTGGGAAAATTGGAAACTACTATGAAGCATTGGTTGAACATATTTGTTATTGCACTGAATTAAATCCACCGTCTGATTTTGAACATATTTGTTGCTTTTATTTGATGTTATATGCCATTCTTTCACAGAGCATGGAGCATTGGTTGAAGAGGAGGGAGGAGGGGAGGGGGAGGGGGGCGGGGATGGGAAGGAGATACTGCAGAGCAAGAAGGACCGGGCGAGGCTCGACGGGATGTATAAAGTTTGGATCTTTTGTTGGTGCTCAACTTCACTCGGTTTTGTGTATCTATTTGTCAGATTTTCTACTGTGATGGCGAGACAATTGTTGGCAACTTCTATCTTGTCTACTTTGCATCCATTTGCTAGATGTGCAGACCTGTTCAGGGGAAAGTGTTGGTTTGTTTCTAAGGGGGTGTTATTCATCCAGGGTTGTTTGGTAGAGGACAATATTCTTGATTGATGTCAGGGCAAATCTGGGCTCTCCACTGTCTTTCATGTTCTCTTTTTTAGAGCCCCTTTTCGTTGATATAGTTTTGATTTGTATATGCAAAGTATGATTGCCATTCTCATTGTAAAATAAGAAGCATTTTTATTGGAGCTATATTATGAATTCACTCTACAGATTTGAGCTTTGTAATTAATTGTTTTTAAATTTTGTATTATATTTCTCTGATGCTGTTATAACATTCATTGAACTAAAACTAGATTCTGCAAAAAAAAAAAAAAACAACTGTAGCATAGTATCCTAGACGGAAATTCCGTCTAGGATGCTTAAATTCCGTCTAGAATACTTTTTAAAGCATAGTATCCTAGACGGAAATTCCGTCTAGGATGCTTAAATTCCGTCTAGAATACTTTTTAAAAATTTAAAAAATAAAAAAAATCAGAAAATCAAATTCCGTCTAGAATAAGATTTCTAGACGGAAATTTCCGTCTAGAATACTTATTCTAGACGGAATTTTTTCCGCCTAGGATAAATTATTCTAGACGGAAATTCCGTCTAGAATAATCCGTCTAGAATGTATTCTAGACGGTTTTTAATTCCGTCTAGAATATTCCGTCTAGGATGTATTCTAGACGGAAATTCCGTCTAGAATACTACATACTAGACGGAAATAAACTAGACGCGTATTCTAGACGGAATTCCGTCTAGAATACACATCCTAGACGGAATTCTGGGTATCCTAGACGGAATTTTCCGTCTAGGATGCCTCAAATTTTAGCAGTGATGTTATGTTCTTAACCATTGCTTTCCAGTTCTTAAATATCTCGAATTCCTCATTCTTATACTTAAGAAAATAAATCCAAGCATACCTAGAATAATCACCTATAAACGAGAAAAAAATACCTAGAACCACTATTGGAAATTGTCAGAGCCGGACCCCAAATATCTATATGCACATAGTCTAATATACCTCTGCTCTTGTGCTTGCTTTTTAAGAACTGGACCTTGTGCGCCTTTCCGTACACACAATCCTCATAAAAATCCATACAAGGCTTCTTCATGTTCTTCATCAAACCTTCGTTACCAAGTAGATTTAGACCCTTCTCTGACATGTGCTCAAGCCGCCTATGCCATAACCGAGTGTGCTCATATTGGTCTCTACCACTTCCATCACTTCCAACCATTGCATCTCCTGTCACTATTATACCCGAGAGAGTATATAGATTATCGTGACGAATGCCCTTCATCACTACTAAGGAACATCCAACAACCTTCTTTACTCTGTTCTCTAAAACTATCTTGCAGCCACCGGAGTCCAAAGCACCAACTGAGATAAGATTCTTCCGCAAGTCGGGAACATGCCTTACATCCGTCAGGGTTCTGACAACTCCATCATGCATCTTGATTTTGATATCACCAAGCCACACCGTTTTATAAGCATGGTTATTCTCCATCAATATGGTTCCACCATCAATGCTCCTATATGTAGTAAACCACTTCCTATTTGGACACATTAACCAATACACAATTACCCACCACTAGTGTCCCGTTCAAACACCAAATCAACGTTGAGAGTACCTCGAATGTACCTTAAAATCCACCTCACAGCATCACAATGACCCACACCTAGGTCATGCATGTATCGTGAAACCATGCTAACTGCTTGTGATAAATCCGACCTCGTACATACCATGGCGTACATCAAACTTCTCACTGTGCTCGCATAAGGAGTCTTCGACATTAACTCGCTGTGTTCAACTGACTTCGGTGAATGATCAGCTAAAATCTTCAAATGGGCTCCCAAAGGTACACTGACTGGCTTCGTCTCCATACTGATATTAAATCGCTGTAACACCTTCTTTAGATAAGCCATCTGTGTCAAATAAATTCTATCCTTATTCTGTCTCTATCGATCTACATTCAAAATACACTTTGCTTCACCCAAATCCTTCATCTCAAACTTGGTTGAAAGTTGTATCTTCAATTCATCTATGACTGATCTGGAAATGTAAGCAACCAATATGTCATCGACATAAAGCAACAAATAAATATACGCACCTCCATGCAACTTGTGATAGTACACGCAAGGATCAATCTAGCTCCTAATGTATGACTTGACGATCATAAATCTATCAAATCACTTATACCATTGTCTTAGAGATTGCTTCAATCCGTATAGTGATTTCTTCAATCTACAAACCAAAATTTCCCTCCCTGCAGCTCAAAACCCCAATGGCTAAGTCATATAAATTTCTCCATCAAGATCATCATGAAGAAAAGTTGTTTTCACATCCAACTGATCCAATTCTAATACATATTGTGCTACCAAAGCTAGTAAGATCCGAATTGAAGAGTGCTTCACCATCGGAGAGAAGACCTCATTGTAGTCAATACCTTCTTCCTGTTCATAACCCTTCACTACCAACCTAGCTTTAAACCTCACTGGAGTGCCCTAAATGTCCTCCTTCTTGGTATACACCCATTTGTAACCAATTGTCTTCCGCCCCTTTGGTAGCTTGACAAACTCCCATGTGTCATTCTTCTGAAGAGACTCTATCTCTTCCCGCATAGCTTTCTGCCACATATCAGCCTCTAAACTATGTTCAGCATCTCTGAAGATAGTAGAAATCATCTCATCAACACTCTCCACCGTAAGTGCATAAGCAACCACTGTATTTGTATACCTCGAAAAATTCCATCAGATTCGTTCAAAGCCTCTTTCAAGCAATGTGGTTGATCCTCCTCTGACTCGTCGGAGCTAGGGATCGGCGACCTCCTCATTCTGATCACATTAGAAGTGGCTCCAAGGTACTCATCCTCTGAAGCCTTCTTCCTGTAGGAGTTTCTTCACTTGTATGGTCTCGACAAGGCGACATTTGTTAATCGGTCGAACACTGATGGCTTGGTTACATGTGAACAACACTGGCATCTTGAGAGGACCGCGAAAATCAATTGTTCACATTAGAATGAATGCGTGACTAGTTGAACATGTCTTTCTCTCGGCAATAACTTTCTCAAATCTGTTACATAGCTCTGAGAAGAGTTACTCATTAAAGGGGAGACTTAGATCGGCACCCCCTGTCTGTGGCTAGACGAGGTAGGCTCTTGATGGACATGGATCTTGAATCTGTGTTGATCTCTATGAATGTAACGACTCACATTGTGTTTAACATTAGAAACACGAGGATCACGTTTTAACATTGAAACACAAGGGTCGTGTTTTAGGGAAGAAATGCGAAGGTCGCATTGAGGAGAGGAAATACGAAGGCCGCATTTTGGAGAGGAAATGTTAAGGTTGCATTTTGGTTGAGCTATGTGGAGCTGATGCTCACGCTCAACGCAGAGCTGGCCTTTAGGCTCAGGCTTGGCAATGTGAGGGTCACGCTCTACGTAGTCGTGAGATCTACACCCTGACTAGGTAACGCAAACTAAGGTCTGCGTTCAGTGCAGACCTGAGGTCTACGTTTTGAGTGGTCTTGAGGTCTGCGTTTAAAGCAGTCTTGAGGTCTACGTCTTGACTGTGAAACACACCATTGAGGGCTGCATTCAGTCTGGCTTCGGTGAAGCTTGTGTTTGGGCACACAAACTCGGAGCTCGTGCTCTGAAGCAGAAGCGCGAAGTGCAGGGTTGTGTTTGGGCTCATGAATGCGATGTTCGTTTTGATCAGAGAATCGGCTTGCCTGGAGTTGTGCTCGTCGATGGGATCTTATTTTTTGATGAGCGACGTTCTTCTTAGCCTATCTTAAGGCTTTTACAGTGGAGACTTCCTTTGCAGAGAATAATTTTGCCACTTCAATGGGCCTTTTACGACCCTATACCCGCTGTTTAGGCATGAATGTAGGATCTTCAACTCGATTGACGAGTTCCATTAGAGATAAGTCTTCTCCTTCAAGGGAGGGACTATCTGAATAGTCCAACCTAAGCGAGAGACTCTCCTTTGGTGGATCAACCATGGGTGGAGCTTTAGTCTCTTTAGAGACTTTACGAGCCTTACACATAGCCTTGGGGCTAAGAGACCCGGAGGAGAGAAACTCCTCATACTTGGCTTGGTCAAACTCCACGGTTAGAGTTTCAATAGTAGTCCCAACTAGTTGGGTGTCAGATTGCACCACCACTTCTTCATTGATGAAAGCGCATATTTCCAGTAGAGTCGCCATCTTTTGTATGCACGGAAAATTGTGAGAAAATTGAGAATTGAATCTGTATTTTTCCCTCTAATTGACTTAAAAAAGAATGATTACAATCCTCTCAATATAACTTCACTCTAACTAACATAGAAAAAGAAATTATAATTCTCTTTACCGGTTCTCTGATTTACAAAAGAAGGAAGGATGAAACCCTCCCTTTGTTTAAAACTGGGTTCTTTCTTTGTGGCAATGGGAGTTTGAATCTTGTATCCTGTTGACAATCCGAACACTTCAACTTAGTGGGGTGTTGGGCTTCTCTCCTTGACTTGACGCCTTGAGAGAGCTTGCAAGGCAAGTTTATAACTCTGACCGAGTTTTGAGAACTCTTTGTAAGAGTGTTAAGAACTTACAGGACAAGTTCGGAACTCTGCACGAGTTTGGGGGAACTTGTTTGAACAAGTTGGTAACTCTCTATAAGAGAGTTAAGAACTCTAGGCGAGTTTAAAAGAAACTTGTTTGAACAAGTTAGAAACTCTCTGTAAGAGAGTTGATAACTATAGCTGAGTTTGAATCCCCAAGAAGGGTTGATTTTAGAGAGGAGATGAACCCCCAAAAACTAATCGAAATGGGTTTGAAGAGAAAGCCAAGAGCTCCAAGAATACCCCAAGAAGCCTCTCCAAGAAGCCCCTCTTATTCTCTCTTTTTCTCTTATTTTTGGCCTCCCCTTTTCTCCTCCTTTTGCTTTCTTTTCTTGCTGGAGATCCAGCCCTATATATAGGGCAATCAGGGGGTAAGGTGCCTCTTAACAGGCCCTTAAATGTGCCCATACCTTGAAAAGATAGTTTTAAAAACTATTTTGAGTCAAAAATGTAAGAGTGGTGTTCTGAAGAGAAAATGCGGATGAACTCTACATTTGACATCTGAAAACACATGGCGAACTCTGTGTTTTGTCTTAGCAGTGCAGAGCGATCTCTGTGTTTAAGCTCTGAAAACGCAGGGCGAACTCTTCATTTGTTCTTGGCAATGCAGAGACCTCTGCGTTTGAGTTC